TCCTCAAATACACAGAGGAGTCCAGAAATAGCCCTCTAAAATGACCACATCGATCACTGTCAAGTCTGCTGAGCCAGCCGCGGCCTCCTCCACCTTCTCCAGTCTCGCCCCTGACAGCTACTGTCCCCGACACTGTAAATGCCACTTAACATGATGGACAGCCGCAAGGGACAGTCTGGTGAGAGGCTGTTGAGGGATGCTTAGCCACAGTACAAAAGCAGTTTTATGCAGCGTGTGTGGGAGAGAACGATATTCAACACCAAGAGTAAAAGAGGTGGGAAAGTAATGGCAGCTACGAGCCTGGGTTTATCTCCACAGTTGGTCAATTCAAACTCTGTGGGGCAGTTTGTAAAGTAACAAGCAATTAACTGAGCAACTTTCCATCCCGCTTCACACATTAAAAGAAATGGGGAGAGAATTTGCCTCAGTCCAGACCTTTGATTCACTCCAATTCAGCCTGCTTTATAAGACGATCCAAGTCTTTGCAACTTGAATGCAGCCTCATAAGTTAATAAGGCTGTGATAATTTACCAACCCCCAGCCCAGTCTAAAATGTGCATAGTCACCTTCCGGGGATTACTATTGACGTCATTAGCCATTCGCAGATCCAAATGCTCTACAATGAGTCCCCAACGAAAGTAACAGATCATCCAAATTCTTTCTACTCAAATAAAATGATCAGTGTGGCTGTGCCCAGATGTTATTATGAAGTTTGGTTTTCAGGAATCCATAAAGAGAGGTTACAAGGTTTAGTTAGAAGAGAATTAGCTAGTTAGTTTAAATCTAATGATGACAGACCATTTTCTAACTTAGTTAGACTTAGTAAACATATAGCTCTGCTTTGGAAGTATATTAATAAAGAAAAGTAGAGATGCGAGGAGGGTTTGTGAATCTGGGCTAGTTGATGTAAATGACTGGTACCTCCTGGCTCGTGTTACCCGAGGTACAGAGCTCGGGTTAGGTTGACAAACAGTAAAAAACAGGGAAGATACAGACTTAAGATGTTGACTGTCCCCAACGGACAAGAAAGCTTGTAGAAGCTGACAAACAAGTTATGTGCAGTGTTAAAATAAAGCCGCTAGCTACTGTTAGCCATGCTCTGAAAATTGTCACACCAATGTTATGCACAGCACTACACATTTTAGCAACATCTAAACCATGTTTTGGTTCATTCACAATGTGATTAGTGTTAAAATCCCTTAAATTCAGCTGGAGAGGGAAGAAAACCAAACAGAAGAAAAGGCAGAACTAACAGGAAACTGCAAAGATTTCTGTCAACCAGACTCATTGCCACTGTACATGGCAACTGAGCAGCCCTGGTTTACATGTATAGTTTACACACTCATTCTTTAATTAATGGGTCACAGAGTGAGCAATTCCACAGGAGTTGTTACCCATCTGGCAAACTTGCCAACTCACTGGCCTGAAAACCCCTCCTGGAACCTGGTGCACAAACGCGTCCAGAACCAATCTGTCAACAGTCAAACGGAAAGTGAAACAGCTGACGCAGGAAGCTATCTAGTTGACATTGTGTAGCCAGCAGAGACTTTGGACAGGTGACATGCCCCACTTTCCCACCCAGCAAGGTCACAAGCAACAAAAAAGAAAAAAAAAACCTGGTGTCCCGCCAGAGCATGTGGCTGTGTGTATGTACAAGAAGCGTGTCTGGAAAAGAGGCAAAAACAGATGCCTGTGGGTTCCCAGCAGGGCTGCAGACACTGACCTCACTTTCACCCAAACGTAAACACGAGACAAAGTGTCTGGCTCCAAAACAAACACGCTACATGTGCTGAGGGAATTTCAGCAGTGACAGCTCTTTAGTAGATCTACGCTACAAGAAATACACAAACACGCAGAGACCGGCCTGTTGGACAGAGATACGACGGTTGAAAGCGTTGACTATTCGTGTGCCAAGCAGGGTTACAAGCGTTACGAGGTGTCCTGTTGCCCAAGCTGAGCAGAAAGATGGACATGGAAGCGCAACGTTGTGAGTTCTCAATGCCATGAGTTCAGCTCTCTCTTTTGCTGAAGTTACGAGCTGGTGCAAAGGAAAGTAAAGTTCAAGTTGCAAAGTTCAATTCAGTTTAAAACCTTCCTGATGTGCCAGATTTCACTAAGCGTATACCAATTCATTTTCAGTATACTCTTAGTGAGGTACAGTCTCTGCTCAGAATTGTATAAATTTAAACTGCTGAGCCATACATTGAACAGCATCACTGAAGGAAGCAGCGCAGGAAAAATGTTTTTAATGCTTGATCCTATCTGCTACCTGGTATGTTTTCCTGCTGGAAATGCAGCTAATAAAAAACAAAGACAAATGCTTCGTCTATTTCACGGTCATTTATCACCAAGAATATTGAATCTGTGGAAATAATTTCACTGGCTACAACCTAGAGTGATTTCCACACCACTTCCACTGAGCTATGAGACCGAGTCAATCCCGATGCACTCATGTTTAAATGTACAAAGTCTCAAAGCTCAAATGTACAAGAGAGGGAGAAGGTGCAATAAATGGGAAGCTGTAGCTTGATAAATTTACAATATCAATCATTTTCTGCAACTCTGCTTTGATGTTATTTATCTTATAGACTGATCTTTATAACCTCCACAACCTGTTCACTTGACAGTGCCCGACTGTGCAGAAGCAGCAGCAAATGATGCATCAACCACTCGCTTTTATGAGTGTGTGCAAAGAGCCTGGAGCAGACCGCCTGGGTTAACAGAGAAAGTTGATATCAGTTACTGCTGTGATGCCCGTCACCTCCGACTGGGCTTTAAGGCTTTGTTGAGTCAGGATAATTAACAGAGTTGGTTTTTTTCACCCTCACAGCTGAATAATTTTGGTGCTGTCCAAAGGAAAAATAACAATGACTGAATTTTTAAACAACTTGTTTGTATTGAGCATTGAATTTACTCAAGCTTAAAATTAAGTTTTGTGCATCCGACGGTGATTTCGGGTAACAAATTGTCCTAACGTGCGTGCATCGCTACCCTCCAAGAGGCCCACGTGGAGCCAGAGAAAATCTGAACACACTATGCAGCGTCTCCCTGCTCGTTTCAGAAATCTTTCTATTAGCAGAACGTCAGACTACCCAGCACTGCATAGTCTGGCTTAAATGGTCCTAAGTGAAACATGCAAAGCTGATGCTTTCTCTGAACACTTTAAGACTGCAGAAAATAAATGCAGTTTTTGCTTTCACTGGGTCAAGCACATCGCTAAGGGACAAAAAAAAGAAAACAGGGACCACGTATCCCTGTGCAAATTAATGAGAGTGGAGGTAAAACAAATAATATGTGCTCCCACAAAAGCTAAAAATACACACCAGCAGCAGCAACTACAACTCAAAATACATTTCCATCTAAAGACTGACGCAGAATTCATAACAGACAGCTCCCAACACAGAGCGGCTGGCACGCAGCAGGCCTTGGCCTACCTCTTATGATAATATGACTGTTACATAACCAAGCACTCCAGCTGAGCAGAGCACAGACTTTGAAGTGACAGCAACCCCCACCTCCTCTCTCCTCCTTCCTGCCACCCTGATCTCCTCTGGAGCGCCACGTGCGCTGGTCTGCCAGCCCGCTGTGCCATCTGACACACTGAACCCCTGACACCGAGCCTCCACAACACTGGCTGCAACACACTTTGCTTGAATAATTTAGGAAAAAAAGTATCCAACACAGATCCCTGTAGCGATATCCCCCTCGTGTACTCAACCTTATATTTAAACATCAGACTGCTGGGTAAGCTGTGCAGCAGACTCCTCAGAGAAGCAGATATATTGTTTAATACTCCCGGGATGAGAGCACTGCTGTGTCAGACTACTGCATAGTAAATTACATAAAAAGCGAAGAACAGGAAAAAGAAATCCCACAGGGTGCATGTGCTTTACAACCCCCCCTATTTTTGTTTTGTTACTTGCAGGGAGATCAAACTAGAAATATACATTTCTCTAACAATTATCTGCAAGCTTTCATGAGTTTTGAAATGTAACAATGTTCTTATATAGATAGTCAACTATCAATGCACATAACCATTTAGATGCTCATCCCACAGTGGCTTAACTGTGGAGTAACAGGAAACACAAAAATAAAGTTGCACAACAAAGTCCCAATCTTATTTTGCAACATTTACTTAAAAATTATAACATATGAACCACAGCACTTTTAGGTAATTTAAACGATCTTTTCTGGTTTATTTTGATGTTTAAATATTCATTCTATGCACAACATAATATCACCACATTGCAATGAGAGATGCCGGTGACAGCACCTCTGGAAAATCGACATCATTAACATATTACAGAGAAGTATCTTCTTGGTTAGAGTGACAATAAGTTATTTACCTGTGTGACTGCTGCACATGCAATAACTTAATTGCAACAACATATAACAACAAGCCCACAGCGTCCATACTAATAACGAGTCGGGCTCGCCGTATGGAGAAATCATCGTAAACATGTGGCACCAGCAGCTGCATTCATGACACACAAGGCTCTGTGCAGGAAAACAGCAAGCACACATTTACATCAAGTCGATGCAAAACGAACACCGCTGTGTTTTCTCCAATGCATGGCCGCCTTGTTGACATTTCTGACTGCTGGTAGCAAAGATGCCACATAATCTGAAATCACTAGCTCCCCCTTGCCCTGGTCCGCTGCAATTACGCCAACACAAGGCCCCGTCCTGACAGACGAGACAAAATGTCGGAATCGCTCAGGTCACATGACTCCTTTGTACTCAGAAAATCACCTCACGCACAAATATGCCGGTCAAACCGGACAATTTTATCCAATAACGACACAAAGCATCCCCGCTTTGCCCAAAAATCCGTCCGAGCCCCGTATATGAGTCGTTTGCGGCACAAAACCGTCGTGTTTCTCCTGAGAAAATTGGCGGCCATTTTGTGAAAGCTTGCGCAGAAAAAAGAGGGACGCCTGTGATCACGTAAAAATGAAACAAAACGTATAAATTCATATTTTCAAACGGTTAAAGCATACCGATTCCTCTTCTTTCTCCATCCCCGTCGGCATCTGCGGCACTGCCCGGTTAATTGATGCATATTCGTGTAGGTCGGGTAAATCCTCACAACGGAAGACGGGTAGTGGCTTGGAAGCGTCCAGCGCCCGTGCCCGAAACGACAATTTACTCATTTTTCACAATTCGAGGTGCAATATAAATCTATCCGATCTCCTAATATTCACAACGGTACCGAGTGGAGCTTTCATGGATGTTTCTGTGCGGTTAGTCTCTATTCTAACGTTCGAATGGTTGTAGCTTGTATTTAGGGCGTCGCCAACGGAGCCGGGGGAAGGCCCGGATCTTGGTCGCTCTCTCTCGGACTGTTTTTTTCCGACGCTCCGCTCCCTACCGTTGGTTCAGTGCGCCATGGACAACATGGCGGACATTTAAAACTCGTTTGCTCTGTTTCGCTCGGAGCGGTCCAACCCCCAGTTCGTGGACCGACCATTCCCACACGGTCCCGAGCGCTTGCGCGTTGCGGGGGTAGGGGGAAGGGGGTATTTCTTGCAAACTAACTCCGTTTCCACACATACACATAAATTATTGAAATAAGCACCGGGAATGGCCGAAATGTATATCGTAAACTAAAACGAAATAAATTTTCAAATAAATAAATTAAATGACAAAAGTAAAGTTGTTCTATACCCCCTTTAAAAATAGTAAATGAAAGAAAATAAAAATGCGATTTTAAAAACATAAATAAAAAGTGGGACTACTGGAATAACAGGACTACGGTTAAAAAAAATAATAATAAATTTAAAAAAAAAAAAAAACACTGCCAACTGTATTTAGCACAACAAATAAAAAAGACACCCCTATTTAAAAATGTATTTAATATATAATGAATAATTTCTACTTTTGAAAAAGAAAAAACACTTAAAACTTTGTAAACAAATTGTAAACAAATAAAATTAATTTGAAAAAGGTATTTAATATTGCATGGTGTACATTTTCTCCATTGTGTAGTATTATTGTCATGGGTTACTTTATTGCTGCTTCTATATTTTTTTTCCTTTTAATTTTGCTGTTGTAATAAAGTGAATTTCCCAACTGTGGGACATACAAGCTATCTTACTGCAGTGTATTTTACGTTTTGGTTAACAAAATTAGAGACAGACTAGCTGCAGGCCAATGCAGCTAACAGATAACTGTTAACTGAGCTGAAACAACTACAGTGATTCATTACAGCTCATCAATCTGACCTGATCAACAGCCCTGCATTTAATGGCAAGGAATGACAAACAATGTCATTTAATTGTATTTTTTCCACCCAAACCTTTGTCATATATGAAAACGAATAAAAATACTACTAATTACTACTATACATTGGAAGTTTTCACTATAGTGTATTTTATGCCTTGATAAACAATACAGGAGGCACAAAAATCTTAAAAATAACTACAGCCAATGCCTTTAACACCACATGGTAGAGACAGCCGTCCCTTTGAACCACACAGAAAGAACAAACTTATCACTCTGATCTGACCACAGCCCATCATTAAAAAAAACAGAAACGTTTATTCCCGGTGATACGCCTCACCATGTGAGCACAACGCTGCCCTCTTCTGGTCTGACAGGCAAAGGATCAAATCACCAGCATGCATGTTGGCACTCGCTGCCATTTCTCTGAGTGCATCACAAACTGTGTGCATCGTTTTGAGTGCATGTATTATTATGTGTATAGGTTAAAAGTGACCATGCTTATCCCAGCAGGCTGAAGTTGTGGTGCTTTCAGGGTAAGACTAGCACAAAGGTATGGTTTAAGTATGCTACCCAAGTGAACCCCCCACCCACCCCACCAAAAAAAAATAATACACAAAACAAAAAAAACAGAAAAACCCCACACCAATCCCAAACACTTACAACATTAATTTAACATTGTTACCTGTTGATGGTGGTGACATGTTGCTTAGCCAGGATCCACCCAGGGGAACTGAGGTTTTCTTTTCATCAATAAATCCATAGATGGTGCCACGAAGACCTGCAAGCAAATTGACAACAGCGCAGGAACATTTAGTCAAAAAGCTCTCGCTGGATGAGTTTTTCACATGTAGTTTAAAAGGAGATTTAGATCCTGTTGGTCTGGGTGGAGCAAAAACAAAATCCACCACCTGTTTGTAATTGTCAGAAGGACCTCCTGGTCTGGCCATCCAACAACTACACCTGGCTGTGTTGGTGGGTAACACACAAAGGCACTCAAATGGACCAAAAGGAGTTTATTTGCGTGCAACAAGGGGTTTTAAACTGAAATGGCACTTTTATTGAACGTTTTCCAACAGGAAGATCTGCTTCATATTTGTACATTACTCTCACATTCTTGTCCAACAGCACACAAAATGCAGCATCTGCTGCTCCATAATCATCATCCTTAGTCTGATATATCTACTATCCTTTCTCTGTACACGTCTAAACCCCCTCAGACACGCCTCCTCTCTAATCCTGGTCCCTCTAAACAAGAACTTCAACTCTGCAATTTCCCGCTCGGCCTCCTCTCTTTTTTGTCAGTGCCACCGTCTCCAAACCACAGATCACAGTAGGTCATGCTACCATGTTGTAAACCTTCCCTTTCACTCTTACTGCCATCCTCCTTCATCCAAATCCACTCCATTGTGCCTGCACTCTCTTCTTCACCTCTCTTGTGCACCGTCTCTTGCTTTGGATGGTCGATCCCAAGTATTTCAATTCATCTACCTTCAAGTACCTCTGCTCCTTGCATCGTCACTGTTACACCCATCTCCCTCTCATTCACACATGTATTCTGTCATGTTCCAACTAGGGCTGCCACGTTTAGTCGACCCGTCACGATTACGTCGACTATCAAAACCGTCGACGACTAATTTAATAGTCGACGCGTCGTTTGAAGCTTCGTAAGATCCTGAAAGACGCAGAAACAAGTAGTAGGATTCAAGAGTGCAATAACGGACTGAAACAGAAGATGGCAGCAATGCATGTACAAGGATGCCAGCTGCCGTTAAACGCTAAAGAAGAAGACGCAGTTTCCAGTATCGTAGCTGAGTCGAAATTCAGTGGCCGCATCCTCTGGAGGCCGCATTTGTAGGCCGATTACGTGACAGGCTGTCCAAATTTGAAGACTCC